ATTTTTTTTTTTTTTTTTTTTTTTTTTTTTTTTTTGGCTTTTTTGTGACCTGTAAGGGGATCGTAACCCTTGGCTTGGTGTTGCCCGCACCGCGCTCAGCCAGTGAGCGCACCGGCCATCCCTATATAGGATCCAAACCCGCGGCCTCGGCGCTCCCAGCACCGCTGCGCTCCCAGCACCACACTCTCCCAAGTGAACCATGGGGCCAGCCCATAATTCTTCTACTTGATTTATAAATTCAGATTTCAGCAGATTACCTTTGCTTAAAGTGGGACTTCGCTATGTAACCAAGTCATTTTCCTTCCTCCCTACACCTGCAGTTTCTTCTATCCTCCTGTTCTTGGTCAATGGCACCATCAGCCTCCCAGCCCCTCCCCTTTGAGGCTCCCTCCCTCCCACCTCCACAGCCTGCCACTTACCTCCACAGGCTCTCTTGTTCTCCCACCTTTCCAACTTCCACTACCTGTTCGAGCCCTCTCACCTCTTCACCTGGAACTCCACCTAAACCCTAAATGGATTTCATCCTCAGTACACCACCCTCCAACCCATTCTTCACAATGCTGCCAGTGTCACCTTCCTAAAAATCAGATCAGAAAATGCCATTTTCCTCCTCCAAAGCTACTGATAGTTTCCCATTCCCTACAGAAAAAATTAATTCCAACTTCCTCATCAAATTGTTTCAGGCCCTTCATCTCAGATTCACAGTGGTTTGTCAACCCCATCTCTTCTTATTTCCCTCCACTTACTTACATCCAAACACACTGAACAGTTACTGTTTCCCAAACACACCAAGTGCTCTCTTCCTCTGGGCCTTTGCATATGCTAGTCCCTCAACCTGCAATGTGCTTTTCCAGATTTTCCAGTGTCTAATTCAAGTGCTTCTTTCTCTATACTTGTATGTCTGTTAGGAGTATATCTCCCTCTGCCATTAGGATGTACATTCCTTGAGAGTAAGGATTATATTTTACATTCAGCTTGGAATCCCCCACAACGCCTGGCATATAGAATATTCTGCATGTTTCCTAAATGAAGGAGTGAATGCTCCAGACCTGAATAAATACAGGCTATATTCTATGGTAAAACGACAATGATGAGATGTTTGGAGGAACTAAAGTTCTGGGAGCAAGGGGTCAAGGGTGGGCAATTTATCTGCACAATTATATTCCCCACAACTTTGGTATTCCCTCACTCCTGCCTCCTATATCCATATGTTGATTATATTTTACAAAAAGCCCAAATCACATGATCTGACACATGGTAACAGCAGAGAATAGAATCCTTGAAATCAGAACTGACCCAGAAAATCGAGTCCATCTGGTAGGTGCTTTTTGTAAAATTAAGATATAATTTACATACCATAAAATTCACCCTTTTAGAACTGCAAATCAAAACCATAATGAGATATCATCTCACCCTGGTTAGAATGGATATTATCAAAAAGACAAAAAACAACAAATTCTGGGGAGGATGAAAAGAAAGGGGAACTCTTATACACTGTTGGTGGGACTGTAAATTAGTGTCGCCATTGTGGAAAACAGTATGGAGGTTCCTCAAACAACTATAGACAGAACTACCATAAGACCTAGTAATCCCACTACTGGGTATATATTCAGATGAATGGAAATCTTCAACTTGTTAGTTGAAGGGACACCTGCACTCCCATGTTTATCACAGCTCTATTCACAATAGCCAACGTATGGAACCAACCTACAGTGTCCATCGGTGGATGACTGGATAAAGAAAATGTGGTATATATGTACAATGGAATACTACTGAACCATAAAGAAGAATGAAATTCTGCCATTTGCACCAACATAGACGAACTTGGAGGACATTATGCTAAGTGAAATAAGCCAGGCACAGGAAGAAAAATACTGTATGGTCTTACTAATATGGGGAAGCTAAAAAAGTAGGTCTTGTAGAAGTAGAGAGTAGAATAGTGATTACTAGAGATTGTAAGGGGAGTGGGGGGGAGCACAGGGAGAAGGTGGCCAATGGATGCAAAATAGCAGCTAGATGGGAAGAATAAGATCTACTGTTCTATCGTGCTATCAGAAGACTATACTTAACAACAGCTTATTGTATAATTTCAAATAGCTAGTAGAGAGGATTTTGAATGTTCCCAACACTGAGGAGTGACAAATGTTTGAGCCAATGGATATGTTAATTACCTTAATATGATCTTTGCACACTGTGTAAATGTACCCAAATATCACATTGTACCCCCATAAATACATACAATTATCATGGGTCAATTAAGAAAAAATAAATTTTAAAAAAAAGGAAAAAAAGTCAGAGACGGAAGTATATTAGAAGTTACCAGAAAATGAGGAGAAGAAATAAAGGGAAGTTATTCCTTAATGGGTACAGACTTTATGTTTAAGATGATGAAAAGGTTTTGGGGACAGATAGAGGTGATGTGAATGTAACTAACTGCACGAAATTGTATGCTTAAAAATGGTTAAAATGGCAAACCTTAGATATATTTAACCACAAAAATAAATTTAAAAAAATAAAATTCTTTCTAAGGTATAGAATTCAGCGGTTTTCAGTATATTCATATAGCTGTATAATCATCACCACTACCTAATTTCAGCACGTTTTCATCACCCCAAAAAGAAAACCCTTCCCCCATTATATTAGCAGTCACTTCCCATTCCCGCTCCCTCCCAGCCCCTGGCAACCATTCATTTACTTTCTGTCTCTGAAGATTTGCCTAATCTGGACATTCATATAAATGGAATCATACTATGTGATGTTTTGTGTCTGGATTCTTTCACTTATATTTTCTTCAAGGTTTGTCCATGCTGTCGCATGTATCAGTACCTCATTTATTTTTATTGCCAAATAATATTCTGTTGCAAGGATATACCACATTTAGTTTATCTGTTCATCAGTTGATGGGCATTTCGGTTGTTTCCACTTTGGGGCTATTGTGAATAATGCTGTAGCTGCTTTTAATACTGACCTACAGGGTTGGAGTTGTGGTTAATGGAGCCAATGAGAAGGGCCTTCCCTTACTGGACTTGCTTCCTAACAGCAGCTTGGGAAGGGGCTTTGGAGAGAAGGCCTCCAAAAGGAAGGGATGAAAGGAAGGCACTAGGTGGCTGATCTATCTGGGGGACAGTGTCCCTGAACAGCAGGCTGCTCAGGCAGAAAAGAGGGAGGATAGAACAGTCCCAGGCAGACTTACCGCCAGAAGTGATAGAAAAGTAGAGGGACATTCAACCCAAGGGTGAGCCACTCTTGAGCACACAGGAACATGACGCAGAAGAGGCTGTGGATGGAGTATTCTGGCAGCACCAGCTATAGAACAGTCCCAGGCAGACTTACCGCCAGAAGTGATAGAAAAGTAGAGGGACATTCAACCCCAGGGTGAGCCACTCTTGAGCACACAGGAACATGACGCAGAAGAGGCTGTGGATGGAGTATTCTGGCAGCACCAGCTGAAGAGGGAGCAGAGACACAGGCCTGGGTTAGAAGGAAGAAAAGACACTCCCACTTCTATGGGATTTCTGCCTAGATGCACCTCTCACTTGCTGGTGATGCAAAGGCCCTCCCTGCACAGCACAGAGTCACTCACCCAAGACTAAGATCCGTTTCTGGCAAGTTCTCCTCTTCATGGTACTAGAGCCATGCTTTATACCTGATCCCAAATGCACACAGACCCTCAGCACCCTACTTATTAGTATACTGTACTTACTCCTGGGGGTCATCCCATGGATGAAACTGGTCCAGCCCACATGACATCTGACCCACAGCAGGACCACTAGGAGAAATAGGGCCTCTAGTGATTCTGTAAGTGCTCTGCTCTTGTTTTTCTAGCTTCTGTGTATCCTCCTGTAGTAATTCACAAACCTAACGTAGATATGTATGTTTATTTCAAATACAGGAGGGTAAAGAAAAAATTAAGGAACAGTATTTTGCTTGATGATGGGTGGATCAAGAGGAACCCAAGAGAAAGCACAAGCAGTGATGGTACAGAGGGACAGTGTAGCCTCTGAGGGGAGGAGGAGGAAGCCAGCTTGGACCAGGAATGGCCGGGTGGTGGGAGGTGACCAGCAGGAAGACTAAGCCTCCCACCGCCAACCCAATCACACAGGTGTAGATGGGTAAAAAGGGCTTAAAATCATTAAGAACCTCCTCCCAAGGACGTTTACATTTTAACAGAAATCAAAGGTGTAAGCTAAAGGGTGATTGTAAGGGAAAAATTTGGTCCCTAGGCCAGTATAAGGAAAGCTGCAGATAGATATGCAAATGCACCATCTTACCCAGCTATCTAGGGAGATATATACATATTTGCAAATATGCTTATTTATATGTATATATACAGAAACATGAGTGTATGTGTGTGTGTATACATACATACTCTGTGTATTGTTCAGACCATCATGAACACTTTTGTCTTCCCATCAAAACCTTTCTAACCAACCTTCAAGGCCCATTTCCAATGCTAAATCTTCAAAGAGAAGCTCTGCCCACTCTCCTCTGTGCCTCTGAGCCCCACAGCGTGCTGTCTGACCCTCTCCTAGGGGGACTTTCCATAATCTACCCATTATGGAGCCATTATCCTCCTCCCACCTCCCAACACACACAGATGTACTTCACTATTCTGTAATCCATCTTGGTCAAGGTTGATTCTTTTCTCATCTCCATTTGCAAAGTGCTTTGCATGGTGCCTAGCACTTAGGATAGACTTAACAAATATTTGATAAAATGAATTGAACTGACCAAATGCGTACACTTGCAGCATGGCTGCCTGGCATTAGGGATGCAGCCTGAGGTCACAAATCAAGATTTCTCTGGGTGGAGAGCATACTGCCTCAAACTGTTCCATGTGGGTATGGAACATGACTTTGATCTCTCACTTTAGTCAGATAAGCAGATGCAGAGGGCAAAACAGACATGCACACATTAAAAATTAATACATGCATAGGAACATGTGTAAGAAATGCATTTTGTGATTAAGGGGCATTTTCATTCTTGAAGTCTGGTGTGGAGTGACTTCTCAGACAGTAACCCTGGAACCACAGAGAAAGCACAGTAATCCAGAGGAAGTGACCCTCAGTGGGTGAGCAGGCACAGCCAGCCCCTGTGAATCTCAACCACCTGTTGGGAGCAGGCTGTCCCTATCATTTCTCCTGCAGGATCACGGAGCTGTGCTTACCACCCTCATCTGCACCCGGCCAAGGCATGCCCTTCTCTGTCCCATCCAAAGAGCAAGCCCACACTCTCAGAGCTGGGAGTGCCAGCCCTGGGAGGCAGCAGTCGTGAGCTCTGCTATGCACATCTCTACAGTTTTTAATCATCAGTTTGAGCCACTTATGCCAAGCTAATTAGCATATCTAAAGACAGCCACCCTGAGCCTGAATATCCGGTGAGCTCTGCTATGCACATCTCTACAGTTTTTAATCATCAGTTTGAGCCACTTATGCCAAGGTAATTAGCATATCTAAAGACAGCCACCCTGAGCCTGAATATCCGTTATAGTTCCATCTCCAATTCCAGTGGCAGATCTCTCACTGATTACAGTTTGGATTTCAGGTCCTACTATTAATCACCACTGCTTCTTCTCTCTTCAGGGCTTGATTTATAGTAGAAGTTGCAACCGTCTGAGCAGGGAGGATTCATCACTGTCCCCATGCTGAAGAAAACTGCTTAATGGAGGCCAGCTGGTCTCAGAGGTCTCCAACCTTTTGAGGGTGGAAAAAAAGCTAAAGAATTCGTCCTGCTGTCTGGGGTACTTCTCCCAATTGCCTTTACTCTCTGGGGCACTGAATGGGATCCTTACAAGTGGGAGAGGCACCTCTAATTAATCCAGGGAGACCTTTAGGAGCAACGGTGCCCTTTTCATACACACTCAGGTCCTCACGTACTTCCCCAAGGTATTCCTTGCCATGAGGACATGAATGATGTAGGAAACCTATTCCTTCTAGACTGAATAGAAACCAGCTGAGCCAGCTGCTCCAGCTGCACGAGGCTGCACTGTGACCGTTACTGCTGCCCTCCACTCGCTCCCAGGACTCAGCCTTTTGGAACACCATAAGGTCACATTTCCCAGATCCCAGTTGCCGGGTGGGGCCAATGGGCTATGAGCAGAACAGGTGTCAAGAGAAGGCTGGAGCATTTACTGGCCAGTACAAAGTCCTCCAGAGTCTATTTCTTTTCCATCTGACACAGCAAAGGCACTTAGTGTGGTGGGCACTCCATCATCCTGAAACCACAAGTAAGGAGAGAGGCCCCCTAGGCAATCCGTGATGGAGTTCAAGCACAAGCAAGCTACTTGTTGTTTTAAGCTACTGAGAGGTGAGAATCACTTCTTGCCATAGCATAATTTACCCTATCTTGTCTTATACAGTCAACAGGACCCTAAATGAGTAATTGACGGGAAAAGCAAAGCCATGTTTTTCCCTCCTTATCCATCCACCCAGCGCTTTCTTTAACAGTCCACTGAGGCTGACATGACCTGGTTCCCTGTCACTGGACATGCCACCAGGCAGGTGTAGTGCTTCTTCATTGTGTGGGCAGTCGGACTCCATCTTCCCTCCCAACTCGGAGAGTATCCAGCTGCTCTATAGAGATCATCCCTGAATCTACCAGGTAAAATACGGAAACGCTGATTGAAGCACTAAACACAGCCCCATGAGCCTGAGTCATCCCCTGACATGGGAAAACATTGTTTTTTCATAAGACAAGCTGTTAGATGGTGCCAATCTCACTTTTTCATTCAGCAAGTGGGGAAACTGTTTTGTACAGGCCATAGTCTACTGAATTCCCACATCTTATTATGCTCTGCTTTCTACAGTTATAAACACTAAATAAGTGGTCTCAATATAGGTACTGTGGGATTGCTGAAAAGATTGCAATTCATCCCAGCCGGGGGGATCATGGAAAGCTTTGTGATCAAGGCAGAATCAAGGGAAGTTGGAAAAGATGAGTAAAACCTAACAATGTGTGAGAACCAGAGGTCAGCATTCCAGAAGTGGAACAATGAGAGCAAAAACAGAGAGACAGAAGTCACTGGCCCAGGGTGGCTTCTTCACAAGTCCACCTAAAAGAGCCACTTATTTAATGGCATTAAAGCCAGGCCTGATACCAGGTAGGGCCTGGGTAAATGTTCGTTATATTCCACCTGTCCTGACTTCCTGCCCAGATTCTAGTAGTTGACTTCCTGGCAAGCATTTCCCTATGGATATTCCACAACCACTTTGTGCTGAAAACTCACACTCCTTCCAGTATGTGCAATCCTTATCTCCTAAATGTCCAGTTTCTTCTAACAGTCATCTCTGGTTCCTCTTTCTCATTGGTCTCCATGAGTCTGTTTTCATATCCAGCTGCTTGTCTTTGCTTCCCTCTTTTTATTTCTACTGTCCCTCCTGATCTGGGCCCTTGTGCCTCCTCCCAAGTCTAGTACAAGAAACTTCTAGCAGGTTCTGTTCCTGTACCCATGCTCCCTATAACAGAGCAGCTGCCTCTTCTCCCATCTGCCATGCTCAGCTCAGCTTTATCCACAACCTTGTTTTTCTAGGAATTTTAATGTATTTTATTTTTTGTGTTCAAAATATTTCATTTCTATTCATGTATCCTCTCATTCATTCATGTTTCCCATTCATTTGCTGCTTTGTCCCACAAATGATTGCAGCGGACTGGTAACCTTTACATATTGTGGGAGAATAGTGTAATGATGTTCCAACTTCTGTCTTATGTTCAAGGCTGTGGTGGAGAAGGGCATCAGGGGCAGAAGGAGAGACTCTTGGTATCCCCAGAGGGAGAAGAACTGGAGAGGGGATGATTGGAGTTGAAGGAAGGAATGATGTTCTCTGGGGGAGAAGGGGATTTCCTAAGAGTAGAGGAGGGGCAGCCAACAGCCCTAGTGTTGAAGATCTGTCTGCTCCCGGCCCCCACCATGCATCCCAGGGGGACAGGATTTCTGAGGGGTTGACATAAGAATGCCTGGGACCAAACACACTAAGAGTCACAGCCACAGAAGCCACAAGGAAGATACTGGGCCTGAGTTTAATGTGAAGAGAGTGGAAGCTGTGAGACTCAGAATCTCCCCCATCTCTGAATGGATCCTGTACACTCAGACAACAAGCTTTTCAGCTGTAATCATGTTGAGCTAAAAATATTAGTTCAATCTCTCAAAAGTATTATATAAACTCCTACCAGTTACATAATGATCAACTGTGTGTTAATGAGAAAAACAGCCAACCACACTGGACCTTATTTTCCTTATCTGTGAAATGCCATACTTACTAGCAAGGGACACAGGATGTGTTATGAATGATGGTGCTCTCAAAAGTTAAGCAGCACTGAACAAAGGAAGATATCACTATTGTGATGAATTTGATCATTATTGTTGTTAATAATCATATACCAGCTAATTACCATTCTCGGGTAGATAACCTTACCCTAAAAGTCAGTGAAATGGCCCAGAACCAAATTT